GAACATTGCTATTTACCTCGTGATACAGCTGCATAATACTGGATGACTGTCTCCTGACTGGGATGGTATGTAACCATACCACAGACGTGACAACATGCAGGATCACTTCCCATCCTCAGCACTGACACCACACGCAATTTCAGCAGTGGCAAGTGGGAAAACAAATGTATAGATTTAGTACAAGAGGCCAATGTGCACTCAGTGAGTTAACAGGTCAGTCTGAGGACATACGAAGGTTAAGAACAAAGGGAATTATGTCAGGAAGATGAAGGGTTAGACAAGCAGAGTTTTACGAGCAATTTTACAAGCACTTTACATAGTTTAGTTCTTACTTAGCAGAAAGGTGAAAGGAATCAAGATAAATGGAAGATACTGGGGACTTATTCTGCTTGTGGCAATGCACTGCATATTTGATTGGTAACTGTCAAATTTATACACCGCTGTTTATTTAAAACAATTTTAATAGATCACATGGGCTTCAGTGTCAGGCACTTGGGCTCCTGACAACAGAGGTTCCCCCAGCAACATCTGTAATCTCAGCTACCACCATTTTATTGAGTCCAAACACGGTGAAATCCTACTCTCAGCCATTTCCCTAAAGGAAAATTGGCTCTCACGGATGAGTAAAGTTGGAGGTTAAGCTGCAGATCACAACTGACTCAACCCAGTCACAAGGTCGTGGATTCACACACTCCAGCACAATCTAGGCTGACACACACTTTTGTGCAGTGCTGAGGCAGTGCTTTACTGTACGGGGCACCATGTATTGGATGGAAGATATTAAACTGAGGCCCTAGTTGCCACCTTGGTTTGGAAAAAGATTCCAGACTACTTGTTTGAAGAACAGGGAAGTTCTCCACAGCACCAGGCTAACATTTATCCTTCAACCACCACCTACGCAGACAGACAACCTTGTAATTATCACAATTATCATACTGTTGTTCGCAGGACCTTGCAGTCCACAAATTGTCTCATACAATTTCCCACATCACAACAGTGACTTCTTTGTTGGCTGTGAAATGCTTGTAGGAAGCATCTCTCTGAATCTGGGGTTCCTGCAGCTCACATAGAATGACAGGGTGGAAGGAATTTGCTGCTGAATGTGTAGCAAACAGACACTTGCATCTCAAGATTAGGAATGGTGCTGTAGACATGAGTTCTCAGTTTTCGTGTTTCCTGTGAAACAGGCAATACCAGAAGATGCTGGTCATTTTCAGAAACAATTCATAAGTTAATGAGTCTGCAAAATCATCTGGCAAGAGGAAGACTCGCCTCATTTTCAAGTTGTACACAGTGCAGTGTTGTCAATGACTGGAAACAAGCCCTCCACTTGAGCAGTGCCAACACATGAACTATTTCCACCCATCAGATCCGAATAAGGCCAAAGCCTCAGGAATGAAACAAGACGACACTGTTATTTTAATAGACTGACGGCACATGAGACCAATCCAATGATGAAGCATGGCACTGCTCTCAGAAGGCTGGATTCCTAATCTTGGCTCCGTTAACATTGTGAAAGAGAGGGAAGTCAGAAGAAGAGATGGGGATAGGTGCATCATCCGCACAACCAATGGTCCTTGGGCGACTCCTAGTGGACAACTCCAAATTGAGGATGGCTGTGATGCAAATCATCAGCACCCTTAATCCACAAGCCAGGGGAGTGAGAGGAGGGCCAAATGATGTGTACAGCTTCAGTCCACGTGGTTCACAAGACATTTTTAAAATTGATGCATGTTTTCCCAAAAAGCGTCAACCAGGGCTGACTTTTATTTGGAAATGGTGACCAAACCACTTGTCTGCACCTAAGGGAAGGTCCTCCAGCCTACTGTTTGTTACTGGAACATCCTGCCTAAGAAAGAGGCTCCAGCTGCCAGTGATGGAGCATATCTTGCTCTATCCTCTGACTTTATATATAGAAAACAAAGTAATTTAGCCTAATCAATCTATTGTGATTTTGTTTGACAGGAGAAAATAGAATCAGGCGGGTGACTGCCATTTGGCCTATTGTGCCTGTGCTGGCCTTTTGACAGAACTCACATATGCTGCCACTTCTGTTTTCCTATAGCCATGCATCATATTTATCCGCCCTACTCCTATCCCAAAAATGCATCATGAAATATTCCAAACTTCAACTGTTTCTAAATTGAGAGGATAAACTGAACTTGTTTATTTAGCTTAATATACTTGCTCATCTAAAACCTATCTGCCTGTATCCAATCTCGCACCAGGTCCTTATCCCTAATCAGGCCTGTGTTCAAAGCAACAGTAGCTCCCACTCCAGCAACAGTTGGATTGTGAAGTTTTCATCCTTGTGAACCAAGTCTCACAAAGCATCCCCCCTCCCATCTCTAATCTCCTCCATGCCCACAATCCTCAGAGAATGCTACATTCCTCTAATTCTAGACTTGGTGCACTACTGATTTCTTTTGACCCCTTCACTGGTGACCAACACTCTGAAAATCCCTCCATAATTTCATCTGCCTCTGTTTCTTCTCCTTTAAAGATTCTCCTTGAAACTACTTACTTCAGTCAATTGTCCTAAAATCCCATTATAAGCTGCCAGTTTTTGTTTCAGTCCTGAAGGAGGATAATACCCAAAACGTTGACTTCTCCTTTCGTCCACATGCTGCCTGGCTTGCTGCGCTCTTCCAGCTTCCTGTGGGTCTACATTGGATTCCAGCATCTGCCGTTTTTTTTAAAATCGCCTGCCAATTTATGTTGCTCAGCGAAGCACATTTAACCACCTTAAAGACGAAGTTACTGCGCACAAAATGACTGCTGCCCTTAGAGTTCAAAAAAGACCATGGATGGACAGACTCGACAACAACAAACATCAACAAGTGGTTATGTAGTCCCAGCTTGGAGACACAGAGTCAGAAACAGTCAGGATATTGGAAATTGCCACAACACTGACAGAGGGTGTTCTGTGACCTACACAGGCAATAATTTAATAAAATAACCAAAGCTCTAAGTGTCAGGACTCTCCAGCAAGTTTCCTCTAGCGCATTACACATGACACCACACCACTTCAAGTTTCCCTTACGAATGTCTGTGTGGCTCTTGCATGGCTGATTTTCACTCTCCTGACAGTAACAGACTCAATACAACAGTCTTCCTTTCTAATTATCTGCCTTACCCAGTAAAGATGCAGACAAAACATCAAATGTCAGACAGTAACGTAGAAACTTAAACTGGAACTCTACTACTATGGAGAAGGACCACAGAATTTCCAAGAGAGACAGTATGAAGGATTTTTAATTATGCAAAGTGGAAAAGCAATTACAGTTAACGAGTTACTAAATGGGGAATATCTTACAAGGGGGAGGTGCAAAGAACTAATTGTTTTTGAACAGATTATGGAATTCCTGCAGAAGCTGTAAAAGGAGGAAAATCTACAATAGTTTATGAAAGGGTACTGAACAGACATTTGAAAACAGGAAAATCTTCAAAGCCAAGATGAAATGACAGCGCTACATGTGTTAGGATACAGTCCCTTCAAAAGGTGAGCGATCAAACAGACACCTCTCCTCTGCTGTAATATTCTATTATTCCATGATAGTACGTGAAAATTTGCAGCGTAGCCTAATAGCACAGCGTAGATTAAATTCTCATGTAATTAATCTTTGAGAACCAGAATTACTGTATATTTATTTTAGATCCTATATATGGCTAAGCAGATGAAATTGCAATAATTGTGGCTTCCAGTAGCAACCTGTTCAGCTAATTCAATGGTCATTGACACCAGATTAAGCTTCTTTTCTTAAAAAAAACCCAATTTGTTGGGAAATATTCATAACTTCACCAAATTAAGGAGTTGTCTCACTATCTCAGTTTAAAATGTCCCACTCCTTTGAGATGAGATTAGTTCATAGCTTTTGTTTCAACATATTTTCAACTCAAAGTTGTTTACATCCCATTATTTCTTGCAAATTCCAGTCCTGAACCATGCAAACAGCACTGACATGCTTAGGAAAGATCACAATATTTCAGTAGGACCAAATTACAATGGAGAAGGGCACTGATTCTACAAGAGGTAAATGGCACAGCATTGCCAGTAGCAATCATGGAGTTAGGTAACAAAAGCAACAACTCGAGTTTAAGTCAAAATTGAACTTCACCACAAAATATGGAAATATGTCAAATCAAAACTTCTAAACAATCGCCAAATATCTAGTTTGAGGTTATGGTCAGAAAAAAATGCAGCAATAAATATTTGAGATCAAGACCCCACATCGTACAGCTATCCGAAGGGCAAATTTCCATAACAATATAAACAAAATCCAATATCAGATTACAGAAACAATGCAAAGTTGCATACTGCAAAGTTGCACACTGCCAGCTCCCTAAGATTATTAACTTTGTTAAATGAATCAGTCACTGGGCTGAAATGGGACACAGCACACTACCCAACTCTGCAAAACTCTCATTAGGACAATGGCAGGGTCCATAGAGGGATGTCTGTTAGAAGGCAAAAATATCTCGTACACGGGATTAAGGGTGAGAGGGGAGCTAAGAAACAGACAAGAACCTTCTTAGTGGATAGTGCGCTAGAGGTTGGGGCTGGATAGTGCTGACGCACGAACAGGGCAGTTGGGCGGGAGAAACGGGCAGTCAAGGGGATATTAAGAGGGAAAGGTGAGTGTGGATGAGAGTGGGGAATTCCTCACACATCGCTTCATACAACCATTCCATAGCCAAACTACCCCAGCCTGGTTTTCAGTCTCGCGGCCGAACAACTCCCCAACCCCTCACCCCTATCCATTGACAGGAACCCTTCACCTTACTCCAGCCTGCAGGAGAGGGTCCCCCTCACCCTACCACAGGACAGAGGAGGGACCACACCCCGGGGAGGAGGTGGAGCTGCACCCATCCCTCACTTTCCAATTTGCCGGTGATCCGGCCGAGCCCCACTCCGTTGTCGGGCGGGGTTGCCGTTTTTTCCCCCAGCCCTATCTCCGAGGCCAGGTTTGGGGTTAGAGGTCCGCTGCCGGGTTACTTACACTTCGAGAATGCGATCTCCTTTGCGGACCCCGGCCCGCTCGGCCGCTCCGCCAGGTAACACGGCGCTGACGTGCTGGAGCGGCGCGTACAGCTCCCCGTTGATGCTCCTCAGCTGGCCGCCTTCGCTCACCTGGCCCCGCACATTGAAGCCGTAACCCGTCTCCGACTTGATGATCTTCACGAGCCGCGGACCCCGGCTCAGGTTAGTGGGCGTCGGCCCCTCCAAGTCGGAGCCGGAGCCCGGCTGCCTGCTGCCGACCTCGTCCGCCATCTTCCAGCGCGGACATCACACGCTGCTGCACCCACCCCCGTTCATCAACACGGAGGCGGAACCTGAGAGCGGGGGCCTCACCTCCAACCGGACCCTTCTGGGGACGCGCAAACTTCACACTCCGCCTTCCCCAACTATACGAGGTGGCCATCTTTCATCAAGGCACCCATGCAAACTAAGACCTGATAGATTAGAAGTTTTGCTAGTTACGTGGAAATAAATTGTAAGCTAAGAAAATGATAAATGTGCTAGTATTTACAGGGGTATTTTAATCAGTGTGACAAATTTTCGTACCATTCCTTTTTTTTTGTTAGTTATTCACAGTACCTACGTATCACCAGCGAGGATAAACCACTTCTGGAACACACCTGCAGAATGGGGGCAGGTTCAAAAGGAGATTAGACTGTTATCTGAAAAGGAACAGTGTGCAGGGTTATGGAGTGAGGGCGGCAGAAACGAATTAAAATGCTTATTCTGAGAGGCAGTAGAGACACGAAAGGCTGAATGGACGACATTGTAACAATTCTGTTATTTGTTACCCATCTCTAATTGTCCATAAGAAAGTGGTTGTTGAACCACTGCGGTTTATGTGGTGTATGTACACCCAGAGCGCTCTATGGGCGGGACTTTCAGGATCAAAAAAGGAACTCTCCATTAGATGATGTGTAGTTTTTAAGGGAAATTTCCAATGGCTTTCCCATGCACTAGTTGCTCTTGTCTAGATGGTAGAGTTTGTAGGTTTGGCAGGCAGTATCAAAGTTAGTCACCAGTTGCTGCGCCACAATCTTGTATCTGGAAGTCCCGCTCAATATGCTTTGTTTCTGCCTGTTTTATTTAATATTTAAACTTCCTATGCTTAACCTGAGCTTGCTATGTGTGAATTTGGAAGTATGAACATCCCATCTGCTGTTTGAACTGTTGCTTTGTGCGAAAATTATCTTCTTTTTGGTCTTCCCATTTGTTCTGGCCCTTTTCTGAAGACAGTAACTCAAACCGGGTACAGTTCACTTGATACTGGCAATCTTCCACATCTTTGCCCTTATCCATCTTAGAATAAAATAGTTTCCATGGTGAAATATTAATGAAAGTGTTAAAGATTTTGAAGCAGAAAACTAAGAATACTTTGTATTAGAGTTAAAAAAAAAACAATTTAAGGAATTAGGAAAAAGGGTTTTTAAACATATTTGAGATTTAATTTCCTTTCAGCAAGATTGTGGGAGCAACTTAAACCATTTTATATAAGGCAGCAAATGAGTGTTTTTGAAGTAGTGATCCACAGTCTAGTTTCAAAGAGCAATTCAGTTAAATTGCACATCTCAGATTTTATTTTCAGGTCACTGATTAAGTATGCATGCTTGAAAAATACTGTTGATTTTGAGTCACAGCATTGTTGGATGGCTTTTTGAATGTGTATCCCAGACAAATACAAAGTGTGATTTTTTTTTTTTTCTTTATACCTGGTAAATGAGAATATGTGCATTAGGGCTGACAACTTTTGTCACCATTTTCAGTGTGTAAACATTTGTCTCTCAATTCTTTCATCTGTGAATGTGACAGAAATATCTTCAGGGTATTCCATCATTCCTTAATCGGCTTTTCCCAAGCCAGAAGCCATAAACTGAAACTGTGACGAACTTCATCTTAATTTTACTTTTTTATTGCTGTATATGATTTCTGTCATTGATGAAGGCACCGTGGTGGGCCAACTTATAAAACTTTTCACTGCATTTTTCATGTAAAAGTACATGTGATAAATTTCTATTCTATTTATTTTAAATCTGACTTGTAACGCATCAAATCTATTTCACAGTGAACAGAATAACCTCAAATAACAACAAGTGTTTATAGAGCACTTAACAGCCTATTCTATACTTCTGAAGAATTGAGAGGGTAAATTGGCAGTCAAAGTGAGTTAGATAAAAAATAAATCAGAGCTAGTCGGAACTGCAGATGCTGGAGAATCCGAGACAACAAGGTGCAGGGCTGGATGAACACAGCAGGCCAAGCAGCATCATAGGAGCAGAGAGGCTGACGTTTCGGGCCTAGACTCTGCATCAGAAA